GCCCCACGGCGCCTCGGGGGTGGGGAACGCCTCAGGAGCCCAGCTCGGGAGGGAGTCTGCCATCTCGGAGGGACGGTGGGACCCCAGGGCCACCCTGAGGGGAGCACGGCTCCAGGTGGGAGCTTGTCCTCACGGGGGATGGGGACGGGGTGAGCTGGGGCCCACCAACACGGGAGTGAGGCTCGGGCAGGAGCTCGCTGTCGTCGAGGGCCGTGGGACCCAGAACCGCCCCGACAGGAGCGCCGCTTGGGGCAGGAGCTTGCCGTCGTGGGGGACGGTGGGAACTGGGGCCCCCCGACGGAGCACAGCTGGGGGCAAAAGCTTGCCGTCGAAGGGGACCGTACGGACCTGGTGGAACCACCCCGATGGGAGCGGTGGCTTGAGGCTGTCTCCCTGGGATCCGGGAGCAGCTAAGGACAGGGTTTCCTTGGAGGATCCCTACAGTTTGGCCACCAGAGGCATGATCTATGCCCTGGGCGTGAAGGAATAACCTGTACACCGCACCATCAGTTTGGAGCAAAAGAAGCCAGGGCGGTCACAGCCAGACGCCACAGGTCCTCTCTCCGTGAGAGAAGGCTGGAAAGACTTGTTTCCAGGGGACGGCCGCCTGCTCAGAATTCTCTGGCTAGGAGGGACTCCCACCCACAGAGGATGGGGCAGCCACGTCCACGCCTGCATCTCGGCCTCGACGGGAGCTCACCAGGCAGCAAGACACTCCCCTCCCTGTCGACAGAGTGGAGGTGGGGAGGGCTCGACTTGAGTCTGGGGCTCAGGGACATCTGTGACGCTCGTGCTCCCCGATGGCACCTAGGAACTCCCCCTGGGGAGGGCTTTCCCTCTGAGGTCGCCTGGCCTGGGTCTGGGTGAGATCCCAGCCGGGGGAGTGAGGCGTTTTCGAGTGCAGGTGCCTGAGGGTGACGAGGAGATGCTGTCCTGCCCCCCGGGGGGCTTGGGGTGCCGTCAGCTGTTATGGGTGGGAGGGGGAGCGCAAAGCCCACAGGCCCATGCTGGGTCCCCCCTCGGCTGGGCCTGTCACCCACACCTGCCGGGGGAGGCTGCACCATCATGCCGTTCCACTCGAGCCCAGATGGGTTTAGCTCGTGGTTTGAACTTTCTTCCAGGAACTTATGCGTCAACTACACGACACGGAGGACGGAGGCAGGGAAGAGGGACTCAAGGGGGCCTTCCGGCCAAGCCCACAGCACTGGGCCTGAAAGCCAGACTGGACTCTGGAAACAGGATAGGAGGAGCCAGTGTTGGCCAAAGGCCAGATCCATCACCCTGACACCAGAAAGGAGGACAGCCACGTCCTCGGCTCGAGTCATCAGAAGTCTCTCTCCTTGGATGGTGGTGGGCCTTCCTGACGCTCCAGGGACTTTCCCTTCCCCAGACCTTTCCTGACAGGAGCTCGTGCGGCATCCTTGACGCAGCCACAGGGAGTCTTGACAGACGTCCCTGCCGGGAACGGGGACACCCTGGCAGCGTATTTCCTCAAGATGGGAAGACCAGCAGGCTCCAGGGATCACGTGACTGTGTGAAGATGGCCCTCCTGCTCACACGAGAAGGGAGCAGCACCTCGGACTCGTCCCCGCGAACCTCTGACTAAGTGGGGGAAGTCCTCCCAGGTGCCAAGAGGGGACACCTGGGCTCCTGGGGGCGCCTCACCAACCCGAACCAGGTCGGGCAGGGCCAGGGCTGCTTCACCAGGGAGACACAGTCCCCGTGCCAAGTGTCTCCTGGGTCTCCTGGGGGTGCCTCTAGCTCCCTGGTCTCCAGGACTGCCTCCCCGAGGGCCCGGGCAGGCCTTGTGGGACTCCTGCCCAGGGAGACTGCGTTCTTATGAAAGCAGCCTCTCCTCCTGTGACATCCCTGAGGCAGGCGGGACAGTGACCATTGTGGTGCCTTTGCTTTTGTTTTGGGGTCGGAGCCTCACTCTGTCGCCCAGGCTGGAGTGCAATGGCACAATCACAGCCACCGCAGCCTTGACCTGCTGGGCTCAGGGGATCCTTCTGCCTCAGCCTTCCAAATAGCTGGCACTACAGGTGTGCACCACCATGCCCAGCTAATTTTTTGATTTATTGTAGAGAAGAGGTCTTGCCAAGTTGCCTGGGCTGGTCTCGAACCCGTGGGTTCAGGCAATCCTCTCACTTCAGCCTCCCAAAGTGCTGGGATGATAGGCACGAGGCACTGCGCCAGGCCCGCTATTTTCTCTCTCTCATTTAAAGTGACCTCCTCAGGGCCACGGATCCTGAAAGCCGGTCAGCAAAACCCTAAACATCAGCTGGTGGCCTAGCAGCCCATCTGACATAGACAAACTACAGTTTAGCCTTCCAGAAGGTTCTTTGCCTTTGAGGAAGCTGCGACTGCCCTGGAGAACGCAGTTTGACAGGCCTCAGGAGAGCCCATGTCACACACGAGGGGAAGCGATTCCAGAAACATCTGCAGGTTTTGCATTTTGTTTCTGTTTTCTGTGAAGACGTGGATTGTTGGCACCGGAGTCACACTGCCAAAGGGGCTGCAGCCTGGAAGTTGATGGAAAACCCAGAGGCCAGTGGGGAGTAGCCACACAGGGGACACACTTGCCAGAGGGGCTGGCCTGAGTCGCTTCTGGGCAGACTAGACAGTTGCAGGTGTTACCCCTCCCGGCAGATGCTAACGGGTGCCCCACACTGTACTTGGTGGACCCAGGTAAGGCCCAGAGCTTGTCACCAACATGAAGGGGAGGACGGGGTGTTCTTGAGACTAGTCCGTTGAGGTCAAACGCTTCAGAAAGCCTCCGTGTCGGGCTGCAGTTTCCTTCCAGACCGGCTCTCCCTCCTCGTCATCTGACAAGGGGACCCGCACGCCACTGCCTGAGCCTTGGCTCCCCAGACCTGTTTATTGTTTAGAGACAGGGTCTTGCTCTGCTGCCCAGGCCAGAGCGATCACAACTCACCACAGCCTCAAAGGGTGGCGAGGAGAGGAGGGACGGTGCCCCGGCCTCCCAAGTAGCTGGCACTACAGGGGTAAGCTACCATGCCTGGCTAATTTTTAAATATTTGTGCAGGGATAGGGTCTCACTAGTTGCCCAGGCTGACTTTGAACAGCCACGTCTCCAGTTAACCTCTGACCAAGTTGGGGAAGCCTCAACTGATCCTCCACCGCAGCCTTCCTCACAGGGGTGAGCCACTGTGCCTAGCTAATTTTTAGAGACCTTTGTTTTGGTCTATGTTGCCCAGGCTATTTTGAACTCCTAGCCTCACGCGACCCTCCCGCCTTGGCCTCCCAGAGGTTACAGGGGTGAGCCGCTGCGCCCAGCCCTGCTTTTACCTGTTGACTGAAGGTCACGTTCCTCCTCCTGCTTGTTTCGGGACCCCCTCCTCCGGCTGCATCTGGGATGGCCAAGGACTGGGGTCTCTTGAGAATCCCTGACGACTGGGGCTTGGAGGTGTCCAAGGATCCCACCCTCAGAACCTCCCCGTCGGAGGCGGAGGCCAGGGCGCCGTCCCTCCTCTCCAGAAGCCCGTGGTCCTGGTGGTAGAAGCCGTCGGGGGCCCGGGGAAAGCTGACGCTGATGGCCTGCCCGGGGACGCTGCCGGGGACGGCCAGGTAGGTGTCCTGGCCCGCGGTGAAGCAGTCGATGAGCACACTGTCGATGTGGGCCGTGCCGAACGACGAGGCGAACTCGCTGATGCCCGTCAGGGAGCCCTCCCTGCTGAGGAAGCTGCCGTACTTGGGCGTCAGGGGACTCAGCGGGGAGATGGGGCTGGAGAGGGCGGTGGCTGTGGGCCCGGGCGGCGCGTCGCCGGCGCCGTCCTCAGACGGGACGGGTGGGGAGGGTGGCAGCGGGAGGCTGGGGCTCTTCATGGCGCCCCGCTTCTCGCCCGGCGGCTGCAGCGGCCGCTCGGGGATGCTGATCAGCGTCAGGACGGTGGTGACACTCAGGGTGACCGCAGTGAAGACGTAAATGACACGAAGCTGCCCACCCAGGGCGCGCCCGAAGCCGGTTCTATCCCAGTGGATGCCGCCGACCACGTAGCCAAAGCCGCCACCGAGGCCTGGAGGGACAGACAGGGGTCACGTTCCCTCCTGCAGGCGAGGACACCCCAGACAGAGGCACCCTGTCCGTGGAAGGACTTTCTGTTTTTTGAGTCGGGGTCTCGCTCTGTTGCCCAGGCTGGAGCGCAGGGGCACCAGCACGGTTCGCCACAGCCTGGACCTCCTGGGCTCAGGGGATCCTCCCACCTCAGCCTCCTGAGTTGCAGGACTACGAGCACACACCACCATGATTGGCTGGTTTTTTTTTTGGAAATGAGATCTCACTATATTGCCTGGACCGATTTCGAGCTCCTGGGTTCCAGCAATCCTCCCGCCTCGGCCTTCCAAAGTGCTGGAACTACAGGCGTGAGTCACCATGGCCAGCCCGGATGAGCCCGTTCCCATCCATGCCTAGTCCAAGGCCTCAGTCCCTTCCCTTCTCTGCCTCTGCCTCTCTAGACTTGAGAGTCTTCCTTGTCCCCCTTGGGCATTTTTTTTTTTTTTTTAAGTTGGAGTCTCACTCCGTCACCCAGACTGGAGTGCAGTGTCCGCTCCCGGCCACCGCAGCCTCCACCTGCTGGGCTCCGGCAATCCTTCCGCCTCAGCCTTCCGAGTAGCTGGAACTACAGGCGTGCGCTACCACGCCCGGCTGATTTTTTGATTTATTGTAGAAATGAGGTCTCGCCAAGTTGCCCAGGTGGGTCTCGAACCCACGGGCTCAGGCAATCCACTCACCTCAGCCTCCCAAGGCGCGGGATTCCAGGCTGAGCCACCGAGCCCGGCTCCCCTTGGGCGTTTTATCATGCTTGACTTCCCACGCTCATGAGCCCAGCTAGCTCTCCCTGCCTTCACTGAAGACAAGATTACTGTTTTGTGATCCTTAACCAAGGTCAGATTCCAGGTGAATTTTATTAACTTTTTTTTTGTAAAGACCGAGTCTTGCTCCATTTCCCAGGCTGGAGTGCAGTGCTGTGATCGTAGCTCACTGCAGCCTCGACCTCCTGGGCTCAAGCAGTCCTCCTGCTTAAGCCTCCCAAGTAGCTGGGACTACAGGCATGCAGCATCACGCCAGTTTTTTTGTTTTTTTTTTTTTAATGTAATGTTTTTGTAGAGATAAGAAAGTGTCTCTCCATGTTGCCCAGGCTGGTCTCAATTTCTGGTCTCAAAGTGATCCTCCCGCCTTGGCCTCCCAAAGCGCTGGGATTACAGGCATGAGCCACTCCCACTATTTGTTTTTTTTTAATGAACTAAGTGGTGCATTCTCACAGGTGAGCAGCAGCACAGGTGAGTGTAAGGTAAAAACAACAATGTCCTCTCCCCACACGCCACGCCCAGCGCTGGCCTGCATGGTCCCTTCCATTTCCTCCCGCACATTGGCACACGTGTGGAGACAGAGGGACGGCCAGCACCTTTTTCTAGAAGACACGACTGAGGCCTGGGGAGGCTGAGCTGTGTCCAACGGCCACAGTCACCAGCAGGAAAAGCCCAGAACCCTCTCGGCTTTCAGGTCCCAGAACCTGAGCCTCCACCACGGGGCAACCTGCCCTCTTCATGGGGGTCCAGTGCATGTCTTGGGAAGCCCTTCCTTTCATTGTTAAACATCTTTTCAACTGCTATTGGAAATAGGATTTTTTCTTTCATTTTGTTTTGTAATGAGGTTTTTTTGTTGGTTTGGTTTTTGATTCTTTGAGTCAGAGTCTCGCTCTGTTGCCCAGGCTGGAGTGCAGGGGCACGATCATGGCTCACCGCAGCCTCAAACTCCTGGGCTCAAGTGGTCCTCGCGCCTCCGCCTCCCGAGTAGCTGGGACTACAGGCATGTGTCACCATGCCCAGAGAATTTTTTTAATTTTATAAAGGCTCGGTCTCACTATATTGCCTAGGCTGGTCTCAAACTCCTGGGCTCAAGCAATCTCCCGCCTCGGTCTCCCAGAGTGCTGAGGTTGCAGGCATGAGTCACCGCAACCAGTCTCCAGGTGTTTTATATGGGAAAGCCAGGGGTGTCGATTTTCATATGCTCCCTTGATAACCAAACATCATACTGCATTTTTGCACTGCTCTGCAGCTGAATTGGTGTTTTTTGTTTTTTGAGTTGGAGTCTCACTCTGTCACCCAGACTGGAGTGCAGTGGCCGCTCCCGGCCACCGCAGCCTCAACCTGCTGGGCTCTGGTGATCCTTCCACCTCAGCCTTCCAAGTAGCTGGAACCACAGGTGCACACCACCACGCCCGGCTAATTTTTTAATTTATTGTAGAGACAAGGTCTCACCAAGTTACCTGAGCTGGTCTCGAACCCATGGACTCAGGCAATCCACTCGCCTCGGTCTCCCCAAGTGCTGGGATTAGAGGCATGAGCCACTGCGCCCGGTCCGCGGCTGAGTTTTCACAGAGGCCAGTGGGGAGGCACTGACCACCACCCTCTTGGTGTCTGTTGCCCCCTGGCAGTGGCTCTGTGGGGTTTCGCATGCTTTCCTTGATCCCGATTCCACTGGGAGCTGTTCACATCTTTTGCGGCGAAGCACGGCACAGTGTGTTTATGTAGGGACACAGCTGTGCTTACATGCATGTATGCGTCTCCAGCCACATATACAATCCAGCTGCGGATTCCATATCTGCCAGTTCACCTGCTCGCTACCATTTATTGCAAAGCCCAGAACCAATACTCATGGCGCTTTGGCAGCCAGGTGAGGGTAGGCTCCAAGCAGCAAAGATGGACTCACCCAAGGCCCAAGGAACCCTAACCCCGTTAGCCTCCCAGCAGCAATGATTCTAGGTTGGCTAACTCAGCGCTGCTGGTGAGTTTGTAGAGCATAACTGCCGCAAATAAAGGGAATCAACTATATATAAATGTGCACAACCATATATTCATATATACACAAATTATGTTGATTATAGATCAAGAGTGTATCTATGGATTTTTGTTGATATGTATTGTTTGAGAGGTGTATTTTCAATTACTTCAAAGCTTTCCCATATATCTGAATTTTATCAGCTTGGTTTGTTTGTTTGTTTGTTTTTTGAGACAGAGTCTCACTCTTGCCCAGGCAGCCTCCACCTCTTGGACTCAAGTGATCCTCCTATCTCAGCCTCCTGAGTAGCATGCACCACCCTACCCAGCTAATTTTTGTTTCCTTTTACTTGTCTCAGCTTCTTGAGTAGCTAGCTGGGAGTACAGGCGTGTGCCACCCCGCCCAGCTAAAATGTTTTTTAAATGTTGGAGAGACCTGCTCTCATTATGTTGCCCAGGCTGGGCTCGAACTCCTGGGCTCAAGGAAGTCTCCCGCCTCGGCCTCCCCAAGTGCTGGGATGCCAGGCGCGAACCACTGCGCCCAGCCATCTTGCCTTTCGATCAGGGAGTGAGGAAGGGCCTCCCAAGCACGCACCTCTGAACCCACAGCTCCTCAGACACAGCCCGGGCCTGCCGCGGGGACTCACCCGCCAGGAGGGCGTGGACGTTCAGGCCTCGGTCCTGGTCCGCGGGGCCGCACACGTCCATCATGTAGGCGTGGCTGGGGTTATCGGCCGAGTCGGCGCTGAAGTCCATCAGCACCACGCCGCACACAGTCAGCAGGAGGCCCCACTGGTGGCTGCCAGCTGTGTCGGCCAGGGCGGTGCCGATGTCCCGGCCGTTCAGCAGCAGCGAGAGGCCCAGCAACGCCCCTGGGGACGAGAGACAGAGTCACCCGAGGGGCGCAGACTGGCTCTGTCCCCAGCCGTGCGGTCCTTGTCTAGAGTCTTTGGGACCCAGGATTTGTAAAAATTGAACTTCCAGCGGAACTCGCTGGAAGGGCCACCCACGGACGCACCGTATGCTTTGCTCTTGGATCAGGGTGTTTATTTCATCAAGCAGAGCAGGAGTGAGGTGGACCTGATGAGCCCATTTTTAAAAAATGCCCAAGGGGGCCTGTTCTCACAGCCAGCCCAGGCAGGGCCACGGGGGAGCTATCAGGGCAACGGCTTTGGCCACGGCTCTTTGAGACTCTCCTAAGAGCAAGCGGCTGGGGCCTCTGTGTTTTTCCTCCATTGTATTTCCACGCCAGAACAACAGACCTATAGCCAGGACAAGAATGAAAGGGCGTCTCCTTCCAAACCTTGAGGTACACCGGTCACTCCAAGCACCCAGCAGCGGCTGCAGTAGGAATCCTGAAACAGAGCAGGCCGTGGTCACTGCGGGCCCCGCAGCACATGGGGATGTCGGGACGTGGTCTCGGAGCAGGCCGTGGCCACCGCTGGGCCCTGAGGCACATGGGGACATCGGGACGTGGTCTCGGAGCAGGACATGGCCACTGCTGGGCCCTGAGGCACACGGGGCCATCGGGACGCAGCCTGCTGGCCTTCCCAAGCACCTGCACTCAAAGGTCCCAGGGGCAGCGAAAGGATATGATGAGACTTGGAGCCAGCAACAAACCCTGTGCTAGAAAGCAACAGAAAACCAGACTCTTGAAATAAGTGAATGTCTCTTTAACCCTCTGCTTGGGACCCTATGAAGCTCTGGGCAGCCGTGACTCTCCTCGGGAATCCAAGAAATTCCAGGACCCTCCCGGCCCCCCAGCTCTGTTGCTTGGATCCGCCGATGAGAGCCTGATGCAAGGTGGCAGCAGGCCTGGGGCCTGCCCATTCCCGTGCTCGCGTCTGGCTTAGACAAAGGAACTCAACGCGTGGACACGTGGAACGTGCCGGCCGTGTCTGTGTTCTCCCACAGCCCCTGCGAAGGAGTAGCCCTTAACTCGGGCTCCTCCCTTGTCCCCGGCACCCTCAGGCTGCTTCCACAGAGGCTCCCGGAAGCTTCCGGAGGCTTCCAGAGGCCGCCCGCCGTCGGGGCCGAGCTGGGGCTCACCGAGGATGGGGCTGATGAACCACACCAAGCTGTAGAGCTGGTCGGGCAGGCCCATCTGGAGGAGGACCGGGGTCACGTACGCCGTCTCCATGGCGTAGCTGAACTCGATGCCAAAGAGGATGCAGCCGTTGAAAAGCAGCTCTCGGAAGGACCGCCGGGGGCGCAGGTCCCCAAAGTCCACCAGCTCGAGGGGGCAGGGGGTGTTGGGGGGCGGGGGCGGGGAGGGCCGGATGCACTTCCTCCGCTTGGGGTGTCGCTTGAAGTTGTTGGCCCGGTGGCTGATGTGTCGCGTCACGGACCCCGCGCAGCCTGAGACGTGGGACCTCCAGATGTCCTGAGGGGGCGCGCTGGGGAAGAGGGCCTCGCCCGGCGGGCTGCTGCTGGCTGGGGCGATCATCGTGGAGGGGGCTGGCGGGGGTCCCTGGGAGGAGAGTCCACCGGGCCACGGTTACTTCCCACGGCAGGCCTCCCCCACCCTCTTCCCGTGCGCGGGGAATGGCAAGGTCAATGGGAGGCTTGGGAGTTAAACACTGTTCCTCTAAGTGGAGGCCACTGCCCACGGGTGGTATCGCAGGCCCGTTTCCCCACCAGAGCGGCGCATCCGCCCAGGAGACCGAAGCCTGGGGCTTCCCCGCTCAGAGAGGTCCCCTGGCTCCATAGGTCCCCACACTTCCGCGGAAGGGGACTGTTCCCCAAGCAGGGACTCCATCAGAATGGCCCCGCAACCAGCCTCCTGGGAAGTGAGCACGGCTGACAGCCCAGCGGCCGCCTCAGGCCCCGAGGACGCCAGGCTATTTCAGAACCTGCGGCCCATTTCCAGGGCCAAGTCCACCCTTCCCCGAAGGTCCTCGGGGACCGGGGAGGGGAGAGAGCCACCGTGGGCCGGGATCACCTGCGGCGCCCGGAGTGCCCTCACGGGTGGGGACCGCTCCTCCTGCACAGGATGGAGAGTCGCAGCTGGTGCCTTGACGCCTTGACCCTTGTGTGTCCTCCTCCATAGTGGCCAGAGGGGTCTTCCTGGGAGCAGCTGGGTGGGCTTGACACGAGCCCTTTCCCTTCAGCGTCCACTGGACGAGCCAATCTGAGTTAAGTCAGGGCAACTGAGGCGCTGCAGTGTTTGTGAATGCTCTCTTTAAAGCAGCGAGCCAAACTCTGCGAATCCTGGGCCGTCACAGAAGACACACCAAATGGAGATACAGTCTCCAAAAAAGGAGGAAGGGGGATCAGGGAGGGAGGAGAGAGAAACAGATGCCCCCCATCCTCGACTTGTTGTTATTTTTGAGTGTTTCACAACAGCCATGACCTAGGGAAGGAACGACCAAGTTCAAGGCCTTCACAGACATCCTTCCACGCCCTTCCTGCTCTGTCCTCTGCCCCCATGGGGTTTGCAATCTGTGCCACTCAGAGGCCTCATCTTCCAACCGTCTTTCGCAGCTTTGAAGTTACCCTAGATTATAAATATTAACAGAATGGACTCTAGCTTGTTGGCTTGTATGTTTTAGCTAAGGTCCATTTTCCTAAGCACAGAGAGAAGAAAGCTGCTTAGATCAGAGGGAAGGAGACAGTTATATACACAAGACAGGGGGATTCTAGGATTCTGTTTGACCCTGACACAGCCCACCCCCACCTGTCTCACAAAAAGGTAACTGACCAAACTTCTTTCTGAAGTCTTTTCTGAGATGTAGGCCTCCAAATTGGGACAGCTTTTTCAGCTTTGATAGGCTTCCTAACAATGGTGCAAGGTAAACATTATAGGCTTTCTTTCAAAATTACTTTGAAACTTTAGAAATAAAGCCCTTTTTGTTGACATTGACTTTCCATGCCACTTTCCAAAACACTACTGCTGTTCGGTAACTTCTTTACAAACCACTCCGAAAACCCTCACTCCAGACTTGTATTCAAAACCTCACAGCTCAGGGACTGCCTTCCTTCTCTTCAGAAGACACCAACGGTGAAAATGATTTGATCTAGAGACACCCCCGCAGGGTTCATCGTGTTAATCCAATGATCTATTTATCCACCCATCCCTCCACCCAC